GATAGTGTGCTCATATAATTTACCTAAGGTGTTGAGTAGGCTGATAGGCCTGTAACTGGTGGGTCGGTTACGCGGTTTGCCCGGTTTATGGATTCCTATTACGTCTGCTTCTTTCCAGATATCCGGGAAAGAGCAGCTCGAGAGAAGCGCGTTGAAAATTCCTACGAGGAGGTAAATTAACGGTGCCGGAAGAGATTTGATCACCTTGTTACTGATGCCGTCTGGCCCAGGGGCTGATCTAATCTTAAGGCTTTTTATGGTCTTAGTGACTTCTTCGAAAGTCACGGGATCGAGTGGATCGCCCGCTGGCGGAAACGCAGCCCTACGTTCGATTTCCGCTTCTACCTCTTGCAGGTGAGCGGGATCTGTTGGTACGCTGGATGGGGTACACTGGCTCTCTAGACTGTCGGCTAGGCATTCGGCTTTTTCGAGATCGTCTAAGGCGAGATCGGGGTGGTCGAGCCTCACGAGAGGCGGCATGGGAGCAATTTGCTCTGCTTTTATGGCTTTAGTCAGCCTCCAAAAGGCATCTTGAGATGGTTCTAATCCCTCTAAGAGGTTATCCCATTTATCATTTCTAAATTCTACAACGCGTTGTTTAATCTCGTTTTGCAGAGAACGTAGCCGGATTTTGTTATCTGCCGTGCGATAACGGTCATATGCTTTTAGCGCGGAGTTTTTCGCTCTAATCAGCCGTCGAACGTCTGCCGGAAGCTTTGTGTACCGATCGCTCGACACACGAACCTTACGGGAGCACTCTTCGACCGCTGATGTGAGGTGAGTCGATAGGGCGCTAATCGCCCTATTGGCTTCCTCCGGCGAGTCTATCTTGTCCGGTATTGAGTCTAAATGCTGGGAGTTCGTAGACTCAAGTTTGACCTTGAGCTTACGCCAGTCGACGATGGTTTTGGTCTGAGGGACCTCACCAGCCGACCGGCCCAGTTCTAATACGATCGGCCTATGGTCCGAGCATAGTTCGATGAAAGTTTCGATCGAGTTAATGTTAAGCCGGATGTCTTTTAAAATAGCTACGTCAAGGACGTCCGGTTGGTGACTAGTTATAAATGGGTAGTGAGTTGGGCTCTCAGGAGCGATAACGTCGAAGTTAAGTCTCTCCGTGAGGCCGCATAATATGTTTCCGTTTGGATTGTTTAGGTTAGAGTTCCAACTAACGTGCTTACTGTTTAGGTCACCCGCGATTACTACGCTGGGGCCTAGATTTAGTAGTGCCGAGATGTCGGCTTCTAATAAGGGTTTTTGCGGTGGCTGATATGCCGAGGCAATTATGACGGGCGGATGGCCCGTAAGTGCTATTCTACATACCGATGCTTCTAAGTTAGCAAGCGGTGGAGTGTCTAACGGTATACAGTGCAAGGACCTTTTGTAGTAGATCAAGGTGCCGCCTTTAGGTCCGGTCAGCCTATCATTTCTTACTAAGGTATAATTAGCTATTTTGGGATCGCGCACGCTAGGTTTCAAGAAGGTCTCCTGCACTAGCATGATGTCGACATCATGATCGCGTAAAAAGTACACGATTTCTTCCTTTTGATCTCTGATGCCGTTTGCGTTAAAGAACGCGACAGTCAGTGAGCTAGGTTTGGTTCTGCCTGTATGTTGTACTGCCATTTTGTTTTAGAGAGATTATTATTTAGGCGCATTGGAATGAACCGATCGCGTCGATGAGATTGATATGCTCAATGGTGGCATTGAGCTTATCTTGAGCGGATTTGGCCTCGCGTAGTTTACGGGCCAGGGAAGACACTTCGGCAACATTAATATTGTTGAAGAAGCTGCAGACTAACGAGAAGTCAGCAGCGAAGGTAGAAGATGCCTGAGGGGCAAGTTTGGGCTTTTGAGCCTGGAGAGAGGGCGCTGGCCGTGAGGCGGCCGCGCTAACAATCGCCGGGGGCTTAACCCATGCGTTCGACGCGGGTGCTGAAGGCACCGATGAGCTTACACCTTGCCCGGAAGACCCTTTAGCGGGGGCGGGTTTGGTGTGAGGCTGAGGGGGCGCGGGTTGAGACACCGAGATCGGTGCTAATGATGGGGCATGTTGCCTAGGACGGGACCTACTAGCGCTAGCCGCTCGTCCGCGCCGGTTTGCGCCTCCGCGCCACTTTCTACGTGGCGCTTTGGTACACCCGCGATAGTTCGCTGGGTGTCCCGCTTCGCCGCACAGAACGCAGCTCGGAGGGCCTTCCGACTCGGGCGTTCGGGTGCACTCGGGTGTGCCGTGGTCACCTAGACACTTAACGCATCTAGGTTTCGCATAGCAATTTTTGGCCGAGTGGCCATACAGTTGGCATCGGTGGCATTGACCAACGATGCCCCTATTACGGGGGGCCTCTACCGTAATCCCAGTGAGATTACAGATTCGGCGAATATTGTAAATTTCTTTCCCTTCCGGGGACAGGTCTAAGATAACTAGACAAAGGTCTAGGTATCTTTTTTTGTCGGTGGGGTGGTGCATTCTGTGCACTTCCCTAACCGGGAGATTCTGCGATTTAAGATCGCTTAAAATGTGCTCGGTTTCGAGCTCCTTAGGGAGCCCGCGAACGACTACGCGGAGGTTGCGTTCTTCCGCAAGGGCGTAAGTATGGAAGCTCAGTTTCTGAGCTTTAAGATGCGCAGTTAAAGCGCGGAAGTCATCAGTCGTTGAGACGTGGATGCGTATGCCCTGGCCACCATTGTGGACCTTTGGGCAGAAGATTTTTTTGGAGTCAATCCAATGCGAAAGGTTGCTCCATCGGGATTTATCCTGAAGGATGATCGGGGGCGGCGGTTTTTCCTTGCGCACCGCGGCGGGTTCAGAGTTCGCGATTTTAGGGCGCGCTGAAGGCGCGGTCTTTTTAGCCGGAGTGGCGTTAGGTGACGACGACGGGGACGAAGGGGCCGAGTGAGGCTCGGCGCCCTTTTTCGCGGCGGGACGTTTACGTTTTTTGCCCGAGACTACGGTGAAGCCTTCGTCATCGGGCATGGCGGGTTTCGCGACGTCGAACTCCATTTCGGAGCCCGTCTCGGCGTCCGAGAACGCCGGGGACGGCCCCCGAGTGGAGAGCGCAGAAGGCGCGGGGGATCCTACGTCATAAAGCGTTTCTACGGACGCGGGGGTCGCGGGTCCGGTGCTGGGCGACATAGGGTCGTCTACCAACACGGTCGGACGTTCAGCAGCGGGCGTTTGGCGTTGCGCTAGAAAGGTCGCCCAAACGTCGGGGCACGCACGACTGAAAAAGTCGGCGAGTTCGGCTATGGTTATAGCCGCCATCTTGTCTTGTTTTTAAGAAAACACTTGTGTACCAAGCTCCCCCACCTCACGGCGGGGGAGGTGTGTGCTTAAACGAACACCTATATACCTAACGCGTTGGTACGTTAGGGTGTGTACCTAGCTGTCGCCTAATGCGACAAGCGAACACAGAGATTAATACAATAACAATATAATAGCCGCCTCTGAGGCGGCACGGCGGTGTGTAATAAACTACTTACAGTTTTTACTGGAAATTGGCAGAGCGTGGGGCACTACACTAATCCCTAACACAATAGAACAATGGGCCGGCGGGCCGATGCAACCTGACGGCGGCAATGACGCACAACACCACTGAAGCACTTCGAGCACTTAATCCTTTTATTGTCTTTTTTTTCGCACAATTGCAACTTAGTAATTCTGGAGCGCATGGGCTCGACCGAAGAATACGTCCGCGCGGCTTGAGCGCAGACAACCGAATCTCACTAATTTTTTTAAATTCGCGGCGTTCCTTTATATAGCAAGCATCGATTCGCCACTAGGTGGGGTGGGGATCGATCGCGAACGCAACACGTTTGCGCGGTCGGTCCGGTCAGACTTTTAGTTAGTTGGAAAATCTCAAGTCAGAGTTGGGAGTCGGGAGTCGGGCAGTCGGGCGAGGGCGAAACGAATGTACTTGTAAAGAAGAAAAAAAGAAGAATACTAGGTAGCAGTAATAGGATATAACGCGTTAGAATAGAATAGTATAATATATCGTCGTCGAAGAGGAAGAAAAACGAAAAACTGTAACAAGAAAATTCTCGTCTCGTCTCGTCTCGTCTCGTCTCGTCTCGTCTCGTCTCGTCGCGTCGCGTCGCGTCGGTCGGTCGGTCGGTCGGTCGGTCGGTCGGTCGGTCGGTCGGTCGGTTCCGTTCGATTCGATTCGATTCGGTTGTGTTATCTATTTTACCTAGGCACCTATTAAAATTTTTTTAAAAGTGTGAACGTAGTACGTTGAATTCGTTGAGTAGGTGGTGTGTATATATATATAGAGGTATTTAGTGTTTCGTAAATTGTTGTAACGCATTTACGACGCATCTACGTTTATTGTTTTAATATACGTGTATTTAGCTTATTCGAATTTATATACCTACTTAGTTAAATCGTTATCGTGCGTTCATAAGTTGTGCGTTCGTTATTTCGTTGCAATGTTTACATAATTACATAATATTTTATATTATATTATATAGAACTGCCTGACTGACTGATTTGATTGAAGTGAGGGACGGTGCGATATATATAATATAGGTAGGTAATATATATAATAAGGCAATCATTATGATTGACGCGTGACGTATAAGAAACTCATAGGAAATTTTTGTTAGCCCTGAAAAGGGCTTTTTAGCATTGCGGTCGCTCGCGCATATTCGTATACGACGCGACACGCGTACACCATTTATTTTATAGGTATTATTTTTAAGAATAAAATAAAAATAAATAGGCCCGATGCCGCGGCGCTACGAGGCACTCGCGTTCACCCGCGAGGATCCTTCTCCCGTCCCGTCCGTCCCGTCTTGCTGTCACTCTGCCTGCCTGCTTGCCTTCCTTCCTACCTACCTACCTACCTACCTACCTACCTACCTACCTGTCTCTCAGCAGCATCAGCCTGCATGCACTACACAATCACATACGCGCGTGACAATTACGCGTACGAGTACGTACGTAGGTAGGTACGGCGGCGGTGGTTATGACGACGGAAGGCGGTGACAGCGGACCTTACTTTTTAGAAGCGGCTGCCTTCTTCGATGCCGCCGCGGAAGGCTTCGATTTGGGTGTTGCCGCCTTCTTCGGTTTTGGAGCCTTAGGTTTCTTTGTCGCTGGTTTGGCGCTCTTTTTCGCCTTCGAAGCGGCGCCTTTCGCCTTAGAAACGCCGCTTTGGCCAGCGGTTGCGGATTTTCTTGCGGCTGCCGGCTTCTTTTTCGCGGCGGCCGCCTTCTTGTCCTTGGTAGCTGCAGACGGTTTTGCCTTAGACGGTGATGATGCGGTCGCTGCCGATGCTGCCTTTTTACCCTTACCCGCGGCGGTGCTCTTCTTCACCTTCGCCGACACCGAGCTAGCGGCGGACGCGCCGCTCTTTGCGCCACCGCTGCTCTTACCCGTCGACGGTTTCTTAGAGGCGGACGATTTTGATTCAAGCTTAAAGGAACCGGAAGCCCCCTTGCCCTTTGTCTGTATAAGCGCACCCGATTCGACTGCGCTCTTCAGGTACTTTCTGATGAACGGAGCTAGTTTTTCAGCGTCGACTTTATATTGAGCGGCAATATATTTTTTTATCGCTTGCAAAGATGATCCACTGCGCTCTTTCAGCTCTTTAATTGCGCTGGTGACCATTTCGGAAGTCTTCGGATGAGTGGGTTTCGCCTTGGGCTTCTTTGCACCACCTGCTGCAGTAGCGGCGGCCTTCGGTTTTTTCGCCGGAGTCGCCGGAGCGGGAGTTTCGGAAGCTACTGCTGTATCTGCCATTACTTCGTAGTAGTAGTAGTATTAGATCACAAACGAACTACAAACACTGACTCACACAACTCGCGATAGATGATAATAACAAAGGAAAATTGTAAATTGTTGTTATATATCGTACACAAATTGATATTACGTAGGATAATACACAGGTGGCGACACTACGTTGTTGTCGTCTGCTGCGGTGTGTGTACTACACCCAGCAGGTCTCGGGCCTCGGGGCATCTTCCCCATTACCCGGGTAGTCCTCACGGCCCATTTCTATGGGCCGGTCATTGGGAGCCGGTAATCCGGCATTGTTGGTTGTCTTGTTTATTAGTTAGTTAGTTTAGCTAGGTCGGGTAAGTCGCCGTATAGGCGGCTGCTTCGACCTAGGCGTCAAAGTTGGCCTGTCAGTGGCATTGCGGGCTTTACTCGACTCTCTAATCTCTTGTAGAGAGGAGTTCTCTTGGTAGAGGTCGCCCGTCCGGGGGGCGAGTGTGTAGCGGCGCAAAGTTGTTAAGGTGTGAATGTGGCCCGTTGTCTGCGCGGTCGAACATACCGCGCGTCAACCGGACCACAAACTCTTCGATTGTCTCCATTTTCAGGTTGGCCGCTATGACGTCATTCCGGACGTAGCGACCTGCACCGACAATGGTCCTTAGTGATTGATTTTGCTGGACCTGCAACCGCTGCTTCTGTCTGCTGCTCAAGAGCGCGTACCAGGCCGGAGCGGCGTATGTTAGCCTCGGACGAATATACGTCTTATATAAAGTGATCTTTGTTTTCATCGGCAGCTTGGATGCCAGGACTGGACGGAGCATCGCCCGCGCACATCTGGCATTGCGGACGACGATGTCGACGTGCGCAGTCATGCGCAGCATCCTGTCGATCCGGCATCCAAGGTAGGTTACGGCCTTCTGATACGCGATCTCTTGGCCTCTTAGCTTCAGTGGTGGTGGTAGATTTCTGTAACGGCGGGTGAGTAGAGCGGCCGTCTTTCCCACGTTGACAGCCATCCTCCACTCATCCAGCCATGGTGGCAGCAGGTCCAGCAGGCGCTGCATCTTGGCAACCGCGATGTGTGGACCTTTGGGCAGAAGATTTTTTTGGAGTCAATCCAATGCGAAAGGTTGCTCCATCGGGATTTATCCTGAAGGATGATCGGGGGCGGCGGTTTTTCCTTGCGCACCGCGGCGGGTTCAGAATTCGCGATTTTGGCGATTTTAGGGCGCGCTGAAGGCGCGGTCTTTTTAGCCGGAGTGGCGTTAGGTGACGACGACGGGGACGAAGGGGCCGAGTGAGGCTCGGCGCCCTTTTTCGCGGCGGGACGTTTACGTTTTTTGCCCGAGACTACGGTGAAGCCTTCGTCATCGGGCATGGCGGGTTTCGCGACGTCGAACTCCATTTCGGAGCCCGTCTCGGCGTCCGAGAACGCCGGGGACGGCCCACGAGTGGAGAGCGCAGAAGGCGCGGGGGATCCTACGTCATAAAGCGTTTCTACGGACGCGGGGGTCGCGGGTCCGGTGCTGGGCGACATAGGGTCGTCCACCAACACGGTCGGACGTTCAGCAGCGGGCGTTTGGCGTTGCGCTAGAAAGGTCGCCCAAACGTCGGGGCACGCACGACTGAAAAAGTCGGCGAGTTCGGCTATGGTTATAGCCGCCATCTTGTCTTGTTTTTAAGAAAACACTTGTGTACCAAGCTCCCCCACCTCACGGCGGGGGAGGTGTGTGCTTAAACGAACACCTATATACCTAACGCGTTGGTACGTTAGGGTGTGTACCTAGCTGTCGCCTAATGCGACAAGCGAACACAGAGATTAATACAATAACAATATAATAGCCGCCTCTGAGGCGGCACGGCGGTGTGTAATAAACTACTTACAGTTTTTACTGGAAATTGGCAGAGCGTGGGGCACTACACTAATCCCTAACACAATAGAACAATGGGCCGGCGGGCCGATGCAACCTGACGGCGGCAATGACGCACAACACCACTGAAGCACTTCGAGCACTTAATCCTTTTATTGTCTTTTTTTTCGCACAATTGCAACTTAGTAATTCGGGAGCGCATGGGCTCGACCGAAGAATACGTCCGCGCGGCTTGAGCGCAGACAACCGAATCTCTGTGTTTTTTAAACTCGCGACGTTCCTTTATATAGCCAGCATCGATTCGCCACTAGGTGGGGTGGGGATCGCGAACGCAACACGTTTGCGCGGTCGGTCCGGTCAGACTTTTAGTTAGTTGGAAAATCTCAAGTCAGAGTTGGGAGTTGGGAGTTGGGAGTTGGGAGTCGGGCAGTCGGGCGAGGGCGAAACGAATGTACTTGTAAAGAAGAAAAAAAGAAGAATACTAGGTAGCAGCAATAGGATATAACGCGTTAGAATAGAATAGTATAATATATCGTCGTCGAAGAGGAAGAAAAACGAAAAACTGTAACAAGAAAATTAGGGAGTGTGAAAGTGATAATATTATTTATATACATAATATTATACGTGTTACGTTCGTGTAGGGTCTCGTCGCGTCGCGTCGCGTCACGTCGCGTCGCGTCGCGTCGCGTCGGTCGGTCGGTCGGTCGGTCGGTCGGTTCGGTTCGATTCGATTCGATTCGATTCGGTTGTGTTATCTATTTTACCTAGGCACCTATTAAAATTTTTTTAAAAGTGTGAACGTAGTACGTTGAATTCGTTGAGTAGGTGGTGTGTATATATATATATATATATATATATATATATATATAGAGGTATTTAGTGTTTCGTAAATTGTTGTAACGCATTTACGACGCATCTACGTTTATTGTTTTAATATACGTGTATTTAGCTTATTCGAATTTATATACCTACTTAGTTAAATCGTTATCGTGCGTTCATAAGTTGTGCGTTCGTTATTTCGTTGCAATGTTTACATAATTACATAATATTTTATATTATATTATATAGAACTGCCTGACAGACTGATTTGATTGAAGTGAGGGACGGTGCGATATATATAATATAGGTAGGTAATATATATAATAAGGCAATCATTATGATTGACGCGTGACGTATAAGAAACTCATAGGAAATTTTTGTTAGCCCTGAAAAGGGCTTTTTAGCATTGCGGTCGCTCGCGCATATTCGTATACGACGCGACACACGTACACCATTTATTTTTATAGGTATTATTTATAAGAATAAAATAAAAATAAATAGGCCCGATGCCGCGGCGCTACGAGGCACTCGCGTTCACCCGCGAGGATCCTTCTCCCGTCCCGTCCGTCCCGTCTTGCTGTCACTCTGCCTGCCTGCTTGCCTTCCTACCTACCTACCTACCTACCTACCTACCCACCTGTCTCTCAGCAGCATCAGCCTGCATGCACTACACAATCACATACGCGCGTGACAATTACGCGTACGAGTACGTACGTAGGTAGGTACGGCGGCGGTGGTTATGACGACGGAAGGCGGTGACAGCGGACCTTACTTTTTAGAAGCGGCTGCCTTCTTCGATGCCGCCGCGGAAGGCTTCGATTTGGGTGTTGCCGCCTTCTTCGGTTTTGGAGCCTTAGGTTTCTTTGTCGGTGGTTTGGCGCTCTTTTTCGCCTTCGAAGCGGCGCCTTTCGCCTTAGAAACGCCGCTTTGGCCAGCGGTTGCGGATTTTCTTGCGGCTGCCGGCTTCTTTTTCGCGGCGGCCGCCTTCTTGTCCTTGGTAGCTGCAGACGGTTTTGCCTTAGACGGTGATGATGCGGTCGCTGCCGATGCTGTCTTTTTACCCTTACCCGCGGCGGTGCTCTTCTTCACCTTCGCCGACACCGAGCTAGCGGCGGACGCGCCGCTCTTTGCGCCACCGCTGCTCTTACCCGTCGACGGTTTCTTAGAGGCGGACGATTTTGATTCAAGCTTAAAGGAACCGGAAGCCCCCTTGCCCTTTGTCTGTATAAGCGCACCCGATTCGACTGCGCTCTTCAGGTACTTTCTGATGAACGGAGCTAGTTTTTCAGCGTCGACTTTATATTGAGCGGCAATATATTTTTTTATCGCTTGCAAAGATGATCCACTGCGCTCTTTCAGCTCTTTAATTGCGCTGGTGACCATTTCGGAAGTCTTCGGATGAGTGGGTTTCGCCTTGGGCTTCTTTGCACCACCTGCTGCAGTAGCGGCGGCCTTCGGTTTTTTCGCCGGAGTCGCCGGAGCGGGAGTTTCGGAAGCTACTGCTGTATCTGCCATTACTTCGTAGTAGTAGTATTAGATCACAAACGAACTACAAACACTGACTCACACAACTCGCGATAGATGATAATAACAAAGGAAAATTGTAAATTGTTGTTATATATCGTACACAAATTGATATTACGTAGGATAATACACAGGTGGCGACTCTACGTTGACTCTACGTTGTCGTCTGCTGCGGTGTGTGTACTACACCCAGCAGGTCTCGGGCCTCGGGGCATCTCCCCCATTACCCGGGTAGTCCTCACGGCCCATTTCTATGGGCCGGTCATTGGGAGCCGGTAATCCGGCATTGTTGGTTGTCTTAGTTTTTTGTTTATTAGTTTAGCTAGGTCGGGTAAGTCGCCGTATAGGCGGCTGCATCGACCTAGGCATCAAAGTTGGCCTGTCAGTGGCATTGCGGGCTTTACTCGACTCTCTAATCTCTAGTAGAGAGGAGTTCTCTTGGTAGAGGTCGCCCGTCCGGGGGGCGAGTGTGTAGCGGCGCAAAGTTGTTAAGGTGTGGATGTGGCCCGTTGTCTGCGCGGTCGAACATACCGCGCGTCAACCGGACCACAAACTCTTCGATTGTCTCCATTTTCAGGTTGGCCGCTATGACGTCATTCCGGACGTAGCGACCTGCACCGACAATGGTCCTTAGTGATTGATTCTGCTGGACCTGCAACCGCTGCCTCTGTCTGCTGCTCAAGAGCGCGTACCAGGCCGGAGCGGCGTATGTTAGCCTCGGACGAATATACGTCTTATATAGAGTGATCTTAGTTTTCATCGGCAGCTTGGATGCCAGGACTGGACGGAGCATCGCCCGCGCACATCTGG